GAATCTAACAAAATACCAATGTGAAGAAGAGCTAAGCAAGAAATGCCACCAGACAGTATTTCATGCAACAAGGCAAGGATGTTTGGTCTCACCGTTTCTATTCAGCGTTGATCTGAACATCTTAACCAGAGCAATAAGAGTAAGAAATAAGGCATAAAGATTGGAAAAGGAAATTCTGTATTCACAAATGACATGATTATGTAGAAGTCCTGAGAATCCACAGAAAATCTACTAGAACACGTGAATTTGGCAGAGGCAGTTTATAGAAGGCAATGATAGTTCTTTATATCATCAACAAACAATCTGAGAATAAAATTTGAAAAACCACGTATGATGGCACCAATAAACAAAACATTCTAAATAAATCTAACAAAAGGTGAATTACTAACATGAAAACTACAAAACATGGCTGAGAGAAAAGAAGGAAGACTTAATTGGAGATACACTCTGTTGACAGATGTCAATTCTTCCCAAGGTGATCTGTAGATTCAAAGAAATCACAGTATCAAAGTATATTTTTAAAAAATTGACAGGTTGATTCTAAAATTATTACGGACCTGGCAAAGCGTGTAGAACAGGCAGAACAATTTCGCAAAAGAAGTACAAAGTGGGGGATGTGCGCACTAAGTGATTTCAAGACTCCCTGCAGAGTTACGCAACCGATACGGTGCGGTACTGTGTAAGGGGGACGACCAGGTCCGTGGAACCGACCGCAGGGTCCAGAAATAGACCCTCAATATACAGTCAGCTGATTTTCAACAAGATGCTGAAAGTAATTCAACGGAAAAAGGAAGTCTTCTCCATAAACGATGCTGGAACCGAATATTTGCACGGAGAAAGGTGAACCTTGGGTTTTTACTTCACACCATCCACAAAATTTAAATCAAGATGAACCACAGACCTAAACAGAACTATGAAGATAAGATGCCTCTTCAGATTTACTGGAATGGCTAAACTCAAACGCACTGACAAAATCACGGCTTGGTGCGGATGTGGAGCTCCCGGAACTCTCTGCACAGCTGGCAGGGATGCAAAATGGCACAACCACCCTGATTTGGCAGTTTGTTAAAAAAAATTAAATCCTGCAACTAACACTTCTAGGTATTTACCTTAGAGAAAAGAAAACATAGGTCCATTAAAAAAAAAGAAAAGACTTGCGTTCATGGCAGCTTTACTTCTAATAGTTCAAAACTGGAAACAACCCAAATATCCTATCGACAGGTGAATAACAAAGTGTGGTCTAGTCCTACAATGGGATACTAACCAGCAACAAAAAGGAGCGAAATACTGACACACGCAGCAACATGGATGAATCTCAAAGTAATCCTCCTGCAAGAAGCTCGCTAAGGACGTGACACACTCAGACTGTGTGAGTGCATTTCTGGGACGTCCCAGAAGAGGAGAAACCACTCTCTAACGACAGCAGTCAGAGCAGCCGCCGCCGAGGGTGGGGGAAAGGAAGGACTCACCGCAAAGAGCATGAGGGAACCTTCTGGGTGATGGAAATGTCCTAGGTCTTGACTGGGATGTCGCTCACATGGGTGCAGTGTGCGTGTACATCAATATACACGAAAGCTAAATAAACTCACTGGACTGGTGACCTACACCAGTTCTTCATTCAGGAACAAGTACAAAGGCACTGAAGACATTCTTAGTAAAATGTCTTTATTATATTTATTGAGGTACTGTAGATTATACCTCAATGAAGGTGATTTTAAAAGAACGGTATTTCAGTGTTTTGCAGATCTTTTATTGTTTTAGTTTCTTTTGTCAGGGGTACAAAAAAGTGTAACTCGGTGGCTTTCAAATACCTTTAACTATGCCCACAGCAAACCCAAGTAATGTATCTGGACCCTTAAACTTAAAGCATCAGTTTCAAACTCTTATTTTACAGATTAGGAAACTGGGACCCCAGGATCCTGATTTCAAGTTCAGTGTTCTTTCCACTATTTATGTCGGGCTATAAAACCTACAAAATGACTTACATCATTGCTACTGAAATGTTCCTGTGCTCAGAAAAAGCAGTTAAAATTAACATGAGAAACACTCTCCAAAGGAACAGCAGATTTAGTAAATTACTATTTTGCAATTCCTAATGAAATCATAGATATAAATCCCATTAATCAAGGAGTGCTAAATTCATTAAGTGAATTTTTGGGAAACTCTGCAATAAAAGCGTGGGCTGACACTCTCCTGAACCCCTGAGCAAGCTTGACTCTACAAGTCCGACAACCTGATACGAGGATCCTCCGGACACGACGGAACAGGAGGCAAATGGCATTGCCAACGGGGGAGTCATGCCAAAGCACACACAGCACCCAAACTGATCCCGGGTCTAATCGAGTCACTGGATTGAAATACTAGTTCACAGGAATTACGGGGGTAGAGGAAGGTGTGAAGTAACAGTGAGGACGGAGTCAGGGAGACCCAGATTGTGGGACGTTCCACGGGATAATGACCCAATGTCTCTTCCCCAAATAAATGGCATTAAAAAACAAAGGAAGAAGAAGAAAGAGAAGGAAGCAGCAAGAAAGGAGAGGAAGGCGAGAGGGACGGAGGGATGGAGAAGGTACAGGCAGTGCGACACATGGACCCCGGCTGGTTACTGATTTGAACAAACAGTAAAAAGACATTTTTGAGCTAAATGGGGAAACTGTAACACGGTCTAGTCACTAGACGACATTAAAGGATCACTGTGAGCGTGGCTGGGTGTGACAGAAGTCCTTGTCTGTTAGACATGGAACGAAGTGCCCGCGAGTGACAGATGTGCCGTCTAGGATTTGCTTTAAATGCTTCCACAGGAAACATGGATGGACGGATGAAGGAGGGAAGATAACACAAACAGCGAAGTTGATGGTTATTGAAGCTCTGTGATTGTTAAGTGTTCTTTCTACTTCCATATTTGACATTTTCTACAATAAAGTGTTTTTTTTTAAATCCCCCAGAATGTATAAGAATAGGCCCAGGTAATTAGAAAGAGGAAGTGTGGGTGTAGTAACATCTGAGGGTGACTTTTTCTTCCTCCTTAAAAACAGCATGGCACCCCTGACCCTCCCCTCCAGGACAGAGAGAATCTTTCCTTCTAACGGCAAGTGGATTGGCATCCAAGTGCCGGTGCCCTGGGACACCCTGGGACAGGGCAGATGGGGTCAGAAGGAGAGGAACCACGTACTTTTTTGGCACTGCTGCTGAGGTTCTCAGAGCTGATGGGGAGCAGGGTGCTCAGCTCCAGGTCCGTGACCATCTGACGAGATTCCGCCAGCAAACGCTGCAGCTTACTTGTGGGAGAAAAATCGTCCTGGGAAGACAACACAGTTTTGGCAGTCATGAGACCAAGACGCATTTTTAAATGTTTACCTTTGTAAATACAGTGTAACAAGTACAAATGCTAGCTATTCATCCATAGTTCTCTGACTTTAGATAGCACACGTCAAAGCAGGCCATTAAGTATGAGAGTAACCAAATTCCATTTATTTCTTAGAACCGACTTGGCTAAATAATTTGACTTAAACAGGAAACTTATTACAACAAACTAACATCCATGAGATAAAAGACTCCCAGGCATTGTTTACCTCCCTTAAATCAGCTTGCCAGGGCCATGTCAAAACACTCACCAAACGCAACTCAAACACTAAAGGCTTGTTAGTGTTTAACAATATGTGGAAATATGTCTTTGTTCTTGTTTAATTTTGAACTTGGGGACCTGAATTTTTAGCAGGCCAACTGCTCTCCAAAGTACCCAGACTAATTTTTTCATTAAGAAAAGTTAATTTCTAATTTTCCATGAACAATGATCACTACTGACCTAGATCTAGAAGATGCTTAACAGATATCTGCTGTGTGAATATATCTGCGTGTGTATATGTGCACACACACGCACGCACACACGCGCACACACACGTGCATGGACAACGCAGGCCTGCAACGTCACATACTACCTCAGAAAAATAGGTGCAAACACTGAAAAAGAGTCTCCCAAGAGCCAAAAAGGTAATGGCCAGTATTTCCCCTCCTATTTATAACTTTTCAAAAGTTAACAGCTTTGAGGTGTAACTGACATACAATTAAGTGCACAGTCTGACAGGTAAATCTACACACTGGTGAAACCATCCCCACAGTGAACACAGGCTGTATTCATTCATCACATCTCTGCCCCTTTGGAATTCTTGCCTCTCTGAGTCCCTCTCCCCATTCCGAACTACTGATCTGCTTTCTGTCGTCAGAGATTAGTCTGCATTTGCTAGAATTTTATATAAACGCATTACAATCTCTTGTCTGTCTGGCTTCTTTCATTCAATATAATTATTGGGAGATTCACTCATGCTGTCTGTGTATAAATAGTTCATTCCTTTTCATTGCTGAGAAGTACTCCATTGTTTGGATATACCACCGTTTGCTTATCTCATCACCTACTGCAGTACACTTGGGTTACTTGCAGTTCTTGAACAAGTACAAATAAAGCTGCTTGAATATTTGTGTACAAGTCTCTGTGTGGACATAGGTTTCCATTTCTGTAGGACGGGAATAACTGAATCATATGGTAGGTGTATATTTAACTTTTAAAGAAACTACCCAGGTGTCTTCCAGGTGTGTACTGTTTACAGTCCCACCACCAGTGAATGAAAGTCCCAGTTGCTCGTAAGTCTAGTCAACACTTGGTATGGTCACTTTTTAACAGAGAACCAGCACTCATCAAACACCCATTAGGGACCAGGCCCTACGCACCTCATTGAGACCAAGCAACCATGATGTTAGTATTGCACATTTGCAGGGGAAGAAACTGAGGCTCAAAGAAACTACATTAACTTGACTAAGGTCACTAAAGCAAAACAGGGATGGGAACCCAGATAGGTTTGGTTTCAAAGCCAGATTTTCCCCAAATGACACCAAAAGTAACTAAGTTTATTTGAACTTATTTTCTTTGTGAACGGGCTGCAATGGAGACCCCGGCTACGGTGGGGACACTGGCTCATCCACAGTAAGGACCTTGGTGTAGAAACAACCTCACCGCCTGTCAGTAGGGGGTGGACAAGCAGACTGGTTTATTCAATCAATGGCCTGCACATCAATCCACAATCCAAAGGAAGAAGCTAGATCCACAGGTGTCAGCATGGATGAGGCTCACAAAATACACCGCGAAAAGGATGCAGGTGGCATTTTACCATTTACATATGTTTAAACACACACAAAACAAGAGGATGTAATGTTTAAGTATAACTTTTAAGCAGCAAAAGTGTAAAACAAGCATGGGAGCAACTTCAAGGTCAAGTGGTTACGTGGAGGGGGTGTGGGAGTGGGCAGAGGGGCACATGGACTTTATACCTTATCTGTAACATTTTATTTCTTTAACAGGTTGAGAAATAAAGCAAATATGGCAAAGTGTAAACATGTTAAATCTGAATGTAGGTGCACAGATACATGTCATATTTTTCATTATTTTGTGCGTTTAAAATATTTTTTAATTAAAAATAGATACATCGATCACCTGGAGGACCTCAGGGACATCCTACCTGAAGCTAATCCAAAGGATATTTAAAGAAAACAGAAGATAAGTAACTATGACTTTGGTTAAATAATATAATTAAAGTCCTGTAATTAAAAACAAAACAAAAACAAAAACAAAATCTGAAGAAGAGCCAAAATGAAGCACACTCACCACAGGCTATGGAAGAATTAAGAGTCTGCTGGGGAGCAGTCCTGCTTGGAAAAGCTGGCTATTTCTAAGCGAAATACAAACCTTTTCACTGGGCAGCGCTGCATCTTTGTTGACTAACAAAATCTTAGACAAGTTCTGTTTTTCAGGAGAGGACTCTGTCTCCATCAGCTTCTCGTCCTCTCTTACGGCAGATTTTGAAGAACCCAAGCAGCGGGAATGCTGGATGGCAATGAGCTCACTGTGAACAATAAAACCAAATGGAAACAGGCACCTTGAAACAACATCTAACATACGTCACTAATATTCTTGTACTTGAAAGGATCACAACAGGACCAAGAAAGAAAAGTTTTTATTTTTTAATGAAGAAGCTCAAGTTAGAATAGACCATTATAGATCTTAACAGGGTTTGTGTGTGTGTGTGCGTGTGTGTAGGTGCTGGGGATGGAACCCAGGGCCTTGTGTGTGCTAAGCATGCGCTCTGTCACTGAGTTGTACCCACCCCCTTGGATAGGATATTTGTGTAGAATATTATAAGTTAATGCACACTCTTTGCAGTAAGAATTAAAACTCTTCATTAAAGGGCAACTATAGAATAGAGTTGCCCTCCTCACCAGTCCCCCACCCAAAAAAACAACAAAGAAAAAGGTTTGAGAAACAGAAACACCCAAAAGAGAGAGAGAAAAAATGAACATCATATAAAGTTAAACTTGTGAAGATTTTAGGTTTTTGGTTTGTGAGACTGATTTTCATGAATGGTTTTTCAAAAGTTCTGTGAAAGTAGAAGGCACTGCTGTGGGCCGTTAATTCTTCTAGGGGTGCTTGGTAATCAGGGAACAAACACGGACAGCTCAGTCTCTGGGTATGTTATTGAAGTTGGGGCTCAAAGCAGAGTGAACAGCAAAGAGGCCCCGGAACCTCCTCCTCCCTCCAACGAATCCTGTGACTGAGGCCAGGCGCCGCTGCGGCCTCTCCCTCTGCAGGGAGACCCCTATTTGTCCAATAGAACGGTGGTGTAAATGGGCAAATTTTAGCCAGATAACAAAAGTAGGTACACAAGTTCTTATAATTAAGGGAAAACAGGAAAACATCATTATCCTTTCTACTTAATCACGTATTCGTCATGGGATACTTTGGCACGTGCCTCTGCTGGCAGGACAAGAAGTCACTTGAATTATTTCAAGCTTGAGAGGTCAAGAGGCCTTGAGAGAAAATTGCATTTGAATTTCTTTCATACATTAATGTATGTCCACTATGCACTTAAAACTATCTGACACAAGGGGAGGGTACAGCTCAGTGGTGGAGCGTGTGCTCAGTATGCACGAGGTCCTGGGTTCAATCCCCAGTACCTCCATTAAAAAACAAAAACAAAAACAAACCAAAAGCACAGGCTTTTCCCTTAATATACGCGTGTTTGGTTCAGTAGTGAGAAATAGGAAGTCGTGCCTGACTGACACTTGCAGTTATCTAAGATGATCTTTAAAAACCAAACATGAACAGATAACATTCAGGGTAACAACCAATTTCTCTTTAGATTTTGCAGCTGACAGAGTAACTGTATGATTTTTTAAGCAACCCAGGCTACTAAAAGGGCCGAAAGATAATCCCAACAATGAAAACACTGGAAGGAAATTTTAATTCCAAATCCTAGGAAAGTCAGTGCAATAATTACAATAAAGCTCTCAACAGAGACGTCATCCTTTCTGTAATCTAAGATCCAAGAGATAGGTTTTCTGTAAAAATAGCAGACACTTGTATACTGCCCCTCAACCGCAAGAGTCAGCAATTCTAATGATAAGATGAGCCTGAATAATGCAGCAAATGCTAATACCTAATTCATGTTCTTCTCTTAAAAAAAAAACCAACTGTGGGGGAGGATGTAGCTCAGTGTAGAGCGTGTGCTTAGCATACAAGAGGTCCTAGGTTCAATCCCCAGTGCCTCCATTTAAAAAATAAATAAACAAATCTAATTACCCCCATCCCCCGCCAGAACAACAAACAAACAAACAAAACAAAACCAAACAAACCCAATTGGGTGTAGGTGGTCAGAAGGCACAAATTTCCAGTTGTAAGATAAGTAAGAATGAGGGGTGTAACACAGTGCACGCTGGGCGTAACTGACGCTGCTGCGTGTTATACACAAAAGCTGTGGCAAAAGTAAGGCCTAACAGTTCTCATCACAAGGAAAAAAACACTTCTTTTCTTCTTCTTTTAGTTTGTATCTATATGAGATAACGGATGTTCACTGAACACGTTGTGGCCATCATCTCATGACATACCCAAGTCAGATCATTATGCTGGACACAAACATACAGTGCTGTACGTCAGTTCTGTCTCAGTAAAACCAGAAGAAAAAAATGACGTTTATCAGCTGGTTAAGTACAGGTATTCTCTTACATGATTTTAAAAAGTAAGACAGTGTGGGGAATGTAAAGTGAACACAAAGGCCAAAGCAGCTGGATGTGTCAATGAGCCAATGGGGGCGAAGAGAATTTCTTATCTGGGGTCTAGGGAACATAATCTGGACATGAAAGAAACTGCTTATCAATTCAAAAGGATCCTGGGTGAGGAATGTCCCAGAGCAGCATTCTAGTTTGTAAAGTGACCTACCCGTTTGTTCTAAAATAAAACATGTTTGCTCAGCTCATGACAACTGACTTTGTTTTTAAGCAAAACCTTTGCCTCAGAAGCTGTCCTAGGTACAAACTTCTCACCGGAATCGAACACCGTCTGATTTGCACAATCAAAAGACTCCACAGCCTGGGCTGTGATGAAAAGAGGAAACGGTCTGTCTCAAACTCGATTTCTGCCCGCAAACACCGCTCTCTGCCGAGCAGCAAGCATGAAGCGGCTGCTGCAACCCTTTATGTTTCGAAACCCAGTAGGCAGGCGCCCTGGGTGTTCACAAAGGTGAAGGACCACTCACCTCGCCGAGGAGCTGTACCTGGTCCCACTGGCACTGCCCGAACAAGTGCACACAGCTCTGTGGCGGACGACCCTCTGCACTTTAGGAGGCTTGAAGATGCTCATCCACTCCACGTCGGACACGTGGCCCGGGGCTTCAATTACGAAGTTGCTCGGGTGGCAGCACTTGGATTCCCACGTGTCACTTTCACCCAGACAGGCTTCATTTTTGTGGCAACATGAGACGCCAGACCTTTCCATGTGATCTGGACATTCAACATCCAGCTTTTCTGGTGGTTTCGAGCCAGGACCGCTGGCCAGGCCCAGGTAAACACCGACGTCCTGCCACTTCTCATCAGACACAGATGTTGATGTTTCCGAGGGTTGTTTCTCTTCGTTCTGAACCCCAATTCCATCACCCTTGGGTGATTTTGTGTGGATCTTGCAAAACGTACTTTTGTTTTCGGGTTCAGTCTGCATTTTTTCTCCCAGAGACCGAGACTTTTGTTTCTCCACTAAGTCTTTTGCAAATACAGATGAGATAGCAATTACACTTTTTCCCCCAAATGAAGTATTAACCTGTAGCTGCTTCTCTTTGCACACATCACAAGAGCTCTTGTCTGACCTATTTTGCTGAACCAACGTGGTCTCAAATTTTTGGTCCTTAACCAGTGACTTCTGATTTTTCTCCCTCTTAAAATCGACTTTAAGGTGGTTATTTTCAAGGTCTGATAAACACATGTCTCTGCTATGGTGGCATCACAAAAAATGGAAATTATAAGGTATACTTGTTACTATCATTCCAAGTATTTCACTCAAACCTTATCAGCTGAGCTAACTCCTAAGAAGACCCAGTTGTCTGAGTTGAAAATTTAAGGTAGCACATGGATTCTTTCTTTAGAGCCCAATTTTAGCCCAACTTCCTCCAGGAAGTCTTTCTGACCACCAAGACCACCTACCCACTGTCCTCTTCCCATCCTTAACTTACTGTCTATATTGCAAACCATTACCTTACTGTGTAAATTATCTAATTAATCAGACAGCAAGTTTCCTATTGTAACTATATCGTACACTGTTTCTTACATATATCCTGTCTTCTCAACAGACTCAAGTTTTTTGTTTTGTTTTGTTTTTACATGTAGAGGCATTTTTAATCCTCCTGGCACCTAGGACAGCCTTTAACATACACTAAAGGTCCTGTAAATACTTGTTGATTAATCTGTTATTTCTCTTCCTAATTCTATTAGTTTCACAGTAAACAGAGGTAAAGCCAGGACTGAAAGGCAGTGATTCAAGGTACAAAGATACAACGGAAAGTGCTCAATGTGTTTACCATACTGCATTCGTGACCACCCCACTTATCTGCTGGATATTTAAAGCTGGTCTAAAGTAAAAATGACATAAGTGCACAAAATAAAGGTACAAATGTGATAAACCTTTTAATAAATCTTCTGTTAAAGTTTTTCATGTCGCGCATGTTCAGGTATTGTAATCTGTGTGACTCGGGTCCCTTCTAGATGGAGGCATTTGATGCTCTTAAAGGATAACCTCCATCACCTAGCCCAGGTACCTCCCAGGGGAAATGAAGCGCAAAGAGGAAAAGGAGCCAGTACGTGAGGGGGTTTGCAAGAGATCACTGGGTTGGTGTGGTGTGTATTAGCAGCAGCCGCAGCCAAGATACAGAGCAGTGGTGTAATAACCCCCAGCAAAAGACCCTGGAGGAAAATACAGCGTGCGCAGCGCAGTGCGGTGAGTCCCCAGTCACACTGGAGCAGCAGCTGCTCCTTACACCCCTCCCTGCAACTACTGACCACGCCCATCCCGAACCCCACCCTCCCAGGGAAAAGAGCTGTCATCCAGCCCAGCTTCTGCCCTCAGGTGCACACGGGGGCGTGGGGAGCTCCCTGAGTTCCTGTTCCTTTCCACGACTCCCTGCAACATCCCTGCCTGGAAAAGTGGATTAAACCGAGCTGTGGGACAGTTCTATGCTTGTTAAATTAAACCATGCCTCATATATTTATATTTTAATTTTACAGAAACCAAGTTAATTCAAACACTGCCTGTTATGGGTAAGAGCAGATGTCTCTCATTAACAAGGAAAAAAGGAAAATCGAGCTGAGAGCAAGATCTCCCGAAGCTGAACTTTGACTGCAGTTACGGAGACCATTCTGTTTTTGTTTTGTTTTGCTTTTGGGTGGAGTTGGGGGAGGTCGGGGTGGGTAATTAGGTTTCTTTATTTTTCCTTCCGGGAGGTACTGGGGATTGAACCCAGGGCCTCGTGCCTGCTAAGCATGCGCTCTCGCACTTGAGCTACACCCTCCCCTCCCCACCTTACTTAGGCCATTCTCCACTTCATCTTAGCCAGAAGGCCGAGAAGCGATTTAGACCATTCCTCTAGCATGATTTTTTCTAGGCAAGTATCATGCCCTATAGATCTTTACTTTCCCTATTCTGAACCCAGAGTGCTGAAAATGGAGAGTGCTGAATGAATAAGTGATTCATCTCTGTAATTTCTGCTTTAGTTCAAAGTCTTCTACATAACAAACACACAAATAATGTGTTTAATGAATCTGATCAAATGTCTAAATGA